CCAAAAAAAATTGTATGGCCTCTCGTGGCCTTATTTTATAATTTATCATATTTTATTTGTAGTATTACTTGATTACTCCATTCACACAGTTTTTTCTACTTTATATTATTATATTGCATTGTGTTTCTTTTTTGATTTATTTCCACTTGTACAAAGCAAAAGCTGCAGATGTTTTCATAATATGAATGTATAGTTTTTGTCATGCCAATAAAGCATGCTAGAATTAAAACTTAAATTTACAAGAGACAGAATTAACTAATTCAAAGCCATATAAATGCAAAAATGACTATTAAACAATCCCTACTGCAATGCACAAAAAAAATCATTAATAATGCCTTTCGTTCTACATAATTAGACTGCCATAAACTAATTCAGATGCATTTCCATAAACAAAGCCTACTGTATATACCTGTGTGTGAGCCCATATGAGCCCCGCACACACACACACACACACACACACAGAGAGAGAGACAGTTTGTTTACCCGTATGATGGAGTTCATCTCTGGTGGGGTGACCTGTTTGGCTCTCTCCATCGCCCCCAGAACCTGCTGCTGGTGCTGAAATAGACACACAGACACACACAAAAATCCCATCACATCTTGTACAACATGTTCCCACATTCACATTACAATCATTATGTGAACATAATCAAGCATTTACACTATAAATACCTGTCCTCCAAAATAAGTGCACCGAGCCCATAGATTTCATTGTAAAATCTTTACATCCCTATTATATACAGCCTGTTCAAATCAGTTATGTATGCATAAATTAGAGAGGCGTAATGCTATAAACTACATGTTGAGGTAACGCTGCTATTTCTCTCTGTACCTCTTGAGACAGGTAAGGCAAGACTTGAGCACAGATCCCATTTAATCTCTTCACGATCTCTGCCTGCAGGGAGAAACACACACACACACTTCTGTTCAGCAAATTCTTCCCTTTTAGTCATCACAAATCCCTACAGTAGCTCAGCTGCAAAAATATAAACAGTCCTTCTTGTCAGAGTACATAATTGACTACAAATAATAATAATAATTTATATATATAAATATATATTTCTTTATTTATATATAAATAACATATTTAGCTACAAAAAAGGACAAATATATGAAGGGAAAGCTCATATCAGGAAAATATGATTTTTCTGAATACTGAAAATGCCTGTGAGAGCTTGAGGGGGGAAAAATGGAGAGAAACATGCAGTGGGACAAAGAGAGAGGCAACAATAACCCTGTTTCAATAGCCTGCCATGCTGACACTTCATACTGCATGCAGGAGAGAGAGAGAGAGAGAGAGCGAGAGCGAGAGCGAGAGAGAGAGAGAGCGAGAGAAATGACTGCATACCAAACACTGGCATGCTTTATTTTTTGCATTCATGCCCTGTATTTCTGTCTCGCACACTTCTGTGCCTGCCTGGCTGACTTTTTAAAAACATATTTCACCTGTGTCACATAAAGGGGCAGGGACTGATGAATTGTGCTCGTGAGACTGGCTGCAGTAGCGGCAATGGAGCGTGCCTAGATTTCCACGTGCAGTCTGTCAGTCTAACTAACTCTCTGCCATATACAGATCACACTATAGACATTACAAGGTTATAAACAGCAACACTTATTGGTGCTGTTCATGCATTCCACATTTAGAGCGTGAGAGAGAGAGAGAGAGAGAGAGCGAGCGAGCGAGCGAGAGAGAGCGAGAGCGAGAGCGAGAGCGAGAGAGCGAGAGAAATGACTGCATACCAAACACTGGCATGCTTTATTCTTTGCATTCATGCCCTGTATTTCTGTCTCGCACACACTCTTCCGTGCCTGGCTGACTTTTTAAAAACATATTTCACCCTGTGTCACATAAAGGGGCAGGGACTGATGAATTGTGCTCGTGAGACTGGAGCAGTGGCAACGGTGCGTACCTAGATTTCTACGTGCAGTCTGTCAGTCTAACTAAATGTTGGCCATATACAGATGACACTATAGACATTACAAGGTTCTAAAGAGCAACACTTATTGGTGCATTTCTCATTTTGTGGAAAATTAAGCAATTTCAAATCACTGCATCATTCAAATATCCTTATTTATATGTTTATATAAAAATTATCT